TTCGAAACTAGCCTGAACAAGAGCGAGACCCCGTCTCTACTATAAATAGAAAGAAATTAATTGGCCAACTAATATATATAGAAAAAATTAGCCGGGCATGGTGGTGCATGCCTGGAGTCCCAGCTACTCAGAAGGCTGAGGCAGGAGAATTGCTTTGAGCCCAGGAGTTTGAGGTTGCTGTGAGCTAGGCTGATGCCATGGCACTCACTCTAGCCTGGGCAACAAAGCGAGACTCTGTCTCAAAAAAAAAAAAAAAAAAAAGTGAGACTTCGGCCCTACTAAAAGGTAGAAAAAATTCGTCAGGAGTGGTAGTGTGCGCCTGTAATCGCAGCTGCTCAGAAGGCTTAGGCAGGAGGATCACTTAAACCCAGGAGTTTGAGGTTGCTGTGAGCTAGGCTGACTCTGACCTCATGGCATTCTAGCCTGGACAATAGAGTGAGATTCTGTCTCAAAAAAAAAGGTGTCAGCAGGATTGGTTTCTCTGCTTGGCTTGCAGATGGCCTTTTCTCTGGGCACTTCCGTGGTCTCTCTTCCTCTTCTTATGAGAACACCAGTCCTGTTAGATTGTGGTTCCATTTTCATGAACTTATTTAATCTTTTCTTTTTTTGAGACAGAGTCTCACTCTGTTGCCTGGACTAGAGTGCTGTGGCATCAGCCTAGCTCACAGCAACCTCAAACTCCTGGTCTCAAGCAATCCTTCTGCCTCAACCTCCCAAGTAGGTGGGACTACAGGCATGCACCACCATGCCCGGCTAATTTTTTATATATATATTTTTAGTTGTCCAGCTAATTTTCTATTTTTAGTAGAGACAGGGTCTCACTCTTGCTCAGGCTGGTCTCAAACTTCTGAGCTCAATCAGTACGCCCAACTCAGCCTCCCAGAGTGCTAGAATTACAGGCATGAGCCACTGCACCTGGCCTTATTTAATCTTAATTACTTCTTTCAAGGCCTTATCTTCAAATACAGCCACCTTGGAGGTTAGGGCTTCAACATAAGAATATTAAGGGCTGGGCACAGTGGTTCATGGCTGTAATCCTAGCACTCTGGGAGGCCCAGGCGGGCAGATTGCTCAAGGTCAGGAGTTTGAGACCAGCCTGAGCAAGAATGAGACCCCGTGTCTACTAAAAATAGAAATAAATTAATTGGCCAACTAAAAATATAGAAAAAATTAGCCGGGCATGGTGGTGCATGCCTGGAGTCCCAGCTACTCAGAAGGCTGAGGCAGGAGAATTGCTTTGAGCCCAGGAGTTTGAGGTTGCTGTGAGCTAGGCTGATGCCACAGCACTCTAGTCCAGGCAACAGAGTGAGACTCTGTCTCAAAAAAAAAAATTAGGGGACACAATTCACTCCATAATAGGAGGATATAAAGAAAGAAACTGCAAAGACTTGGATATATATTCTTTAGGCTTCCATCCAAGTGGCAACTAGTACACTATGTGCATGGGCAGAGAATGGGGTAGAAAATACCTTCCTGGCTTCTGTGACCCAAAATGTTCCAATTTGATTTCTCTTTTTTCACATATTTCACATACCGTATTTCTTTTTTCCTCTCCCCTGAGGTGGTGGTTTATCACCTATATGAAACAACACAATGCCTTACTCTATTTCCAGAGCAAAGAATGTTTCTAGTAATATACAGAGTGAGCTAACCAAGATGAGAGGGAGTATAGGAGGTTGGATGGGATAGAGTAGGTGTGGTCTGGTTTTAAGGGATTAATTTATGTTAATTCCTTGGAGCCTTTGCTCCTTTGTATTCCATGCCCTTCCTGGGCCCCAGTTCTTTTCTCCTTTCCTTTGAGGAATGGCCAGGATCCCACTCTGGGAACCAAGGTCTTTGGAATTGAGGGTGTAGGCCAGTCCTTTATACTTTATTCTTCCTGCCACCAAAGGAGGCACAAATGGGAGTCTCATTCTTAGAAAAGAGAAATGAAAGTGATCTTTGTAATAGGAAAAAAGAAACTAAATTAAAATAATATTTTATCTTCAGTGATTGGAGAAAATGGAAGGTCAAAGATTATTGGTGGCTGTGGAGATAGGTATATAAAGAAGAGAATATCTATCTTGTGGTCTAGAAAGAATGAGAGATCTCAGTTGAGAGGTCAGGAATAAAATAGGCTCCTCACCTAAGAATTCTGAGAGGCTGAGCCTGCTTCTCTGAATTGTTGACATTGGGAGTCACTGTGCAGAGAAGTCTCCCCACCCCATAGGGCAATACTGAATAACTTAGAACCTGTCCCTGCCACTTCTATTTCAGTTTCCTTGATCTTGAGGGTGGAGGGTGGGTGTGTTACTAAGTATGTTCCTGGACACAGGAGTCCCTCCAAAGATAAAACAAGTTATAAGGAAAAAAAGTAATAAGGCAGTAATCACGTATAATCACCCAAAGTTTGCTTATTGTTTGGTTCCTGGCCATAGAAACCCTAAAGTTACCTTTATCCTGAAAGTAAAGAATAAAGCACAATTTCAGCTTCTTTTATGTGGAAACAGGACAGTAGTAACTAGAAAAGATAAGAGCAGCATTATGCAATAGAACTTTCTGTGATGATAGAAACATCTCTATGTTCTGCAATATGGTAGCCACTAGCCATATATGGCTATTGAGCAGTTAAAATGTGGTAAATATGACCAGGGAACTGGATTTTTATTTTTATTTCATCTTAATTTTAAGTTTAAATAGCCACATGTGGCTAGTGGCTTCTGTTCTGAACAGTGAAAAATTCATTGATGTTGATAGGATGAATGTGCCTCTGGTTTTTCTTTTGATCCACTTCATGGTTAGGTGGGTCTAGAAAGAACAGAAAGAAAGAGACAATGGAGAATAATAATAATAGCCAACATTTATTGTGTGCTTATTATAATGCCAGATACTTATCTAAACACTTAAAAGGTATTTTATATAATCCTTGCAAAAATAAAAAATAAAAAAATTAGCTGGGCATGATGGTGCATGTGTGTAGTCCCAGCTACTCAGGGGCTGAAGCAGAAGGATTGCTTGAGCCCAGGAGTTTGAGGTTGCTGTGAACTGGGCTGACACCACAGCACTTACTCTAGCCCGGGCAACAGAGTGAGACTCTGTCTCAAATAAATTCTTTTTTTTTTATGAGGCAAGGTCTCACTCTGTTGCCTCAGCTAGAGTGAGTGCCATGGTGTCAGCCTAGCTCACAGCAACCTCAAACTCCTGGGCTCAAGCAAACCTTCTGCTTCAGCCTCCTGAGTAGCTGGGACTACAGGCATGCGCCACCATGCCTGCCTAATTTTTTTCTATATATTTTTAGTTGGCCAATTAATTTGTTTCTATTTTTAGTAGAGACAGGGTCTCGCTCTTGCTCAGGCTGGTTTTGAACTCCTGACCTTGAGCGATCCACCCGCCTGGGCCTCCCAGAGTGCTAGGATTACAGGCGGAGCCACGCGCCCGGCCATAAGTAAATAAATTAATTAAATTAAATTAAATAATGCTTTTAGGCGGGGCACGGAGGCTCACACCTATAATCCTAGCACTTTGGGAGGCCAAGGTAGGTGGATTGCTCAAGGTCAGGAGTTTGAAACAAGCCTGAGCAAGAGTGAGACCCTGTCTCTACTAAAAAAAATAGAAAGAAATTAATTGGCCAACTAATATATAGAGAAAAAAAAATTAGCCGGGCATGGTGGCACATGCCTGTAGTCCCAGCTCCTCCAGAGGCTGAGGCAGGAAGATCAGCTTGAGCCCAGGAGTCTGAGGTTGCTGTGAGCTAGGCTGACCCCAGGCACTCTAGCCTGGGCAACACAGTGAGACTCTGTCTAAAAAACAAATAAATAAATAATGCTTTCAGTGTTCCAAATCTTCATAGTCTCACTACTAAAGTGAAACTACTTTTAGATCAACTTGTTGTTACCTTTGTTGAAATTACTGGATGAATAAGGATAATATTGAATAAGGATAATAACAGTAGTAATAATGCAACAATAACATTAATGATAGAATAAAACATTTATTTAGCATTGGGCTCTCAGTTCTTTACATATATTATTTTTTTCTTTGCCGATATTGTTTTTCCTCTTGTGTCCCTTAGCACTAGAACAATTCTGTTGCATAGTTGATGTTCAATAAATATTTGTTAAATGAATATTTAACAAATGTTAAACAGAATGTTAAACAGAAAAACAGTGTTGGAAGACTGGCTTGGGTCACGATGCTGGGTAGAATGGCAAGCATGAAAGATTAGAGTGCAGAAGAGGGAAGAGGTAGAGGAGTCCAATAGCTAAGGAAGGGCCATTGATTTGTAATTTGATGTGAGACTAATTAAACTTGTAAAAGTGGGGAGAAGAAATAGCTGAATTCTTACAAAGACATAATACTGTGTAGTCTGTTAAAGGAATTTTCATCTAGAGAGGAGTTCTTTATTTATCTGAACTGCTTGGATCTAATACTGTATAAATTAAGGGATTATCTGTGTGCCCACCCACCAAACCTATCCCCATCCTTTCTCTGTATCTAGCATCCAGGAATTTATGTATATATTCTTTTTTTTTCTTTTGTTTCATTTATTCTTTTTTTTTATTTAGGCATATTATGGGGGTACAGATTTTAAAGTTTCAATATTCTTTTTGTCTAATTTAATTTTGCTTAGTCCTTGGAGATATATATATATATATATATATATTTTTATTTTTTTTTTTTTTTTTTTTTTTTTGAGAGAGAGTCTCACTCTGTTCCCTGGGGTAAAGTGTCATGGGGTCAACCTAGTTCAAGGGATCCTCCTGGCTCAGCCTGCCCAGTAGCCCCAGGGAACAGAGTGAGACTCTCTCTCAAAAAAAAAAAAAAATATATATATATATATATATATAGCCTCCCAGAGTGCTAGCATTACAGGCGGGAGCCACCGCGCCCGTCCAGGATCCGGGAATTCTTGTCCTAGAACTTTTTCTTCTCTCCATCCGGACCTGGGTGTGCTCTCCCAAGCCCTGTAACAATAGGGCTGACCTCCAAGTCAGACCTGTTGCCAGGGGTAACCTTGCTTCCCTAGTCAGGAAGCAACTCAGCCACAGGCTAACTTCGTTTTTAGTCTGGGATTGCAAGATCTAAGGCTTGACATTTTTTCCTTCTGAATCTCTCCTCTGGGCTTCTTCGCCTCTTCCCGAACAGGCCTCCTTGCTGGGCACTCCCGCCCTGCGGACGCGAGTGGGTGCAGGGATGAAATGCTGGATGCCTCTGGAGGGGCGGGGGTCTGGGAAGAATTCTGATTAGCTTTACACTCCAGCCTCGGGCCACAGAATTAGGGTGTGTTACCACGGAGACGGGCCCGGCCCGCGTGCTCGTCTGCCATTGGCTGGGGACTCCCGGGCTGGAGATATAAATCGGCGCAGCCACCCGGGCACTGTGCTGGCTAGATCCGGCGGCGGCAGTCCTGCCCGGCTCAGCGGAGCGGATCGGAGCTACAGAGAGCAGCGGGCTCATTCAGAGGGCGTCTGCTGGACCATGGAGGACGGTGGCAGGTAAGGGGGGCACCAGGCCCGGGGAGCCCCGGAGGCCCTTGGGGAGGGGAGAAATGGCTGTGAGACCCAGAAGCCTGGCACGCTGGGCCCCCAGGGGGTCCGGGGAGGGCGCGAGTGCCCTGGAGATGCGGAGCGGCCTGCCACAGAGCCTGGTGTCAGGGGCGCGGCGGCAGAACAGCACGACAGCCAGCGCCGGCGGGAGCCGGCGTGGGAATCGAGCTGGGGTGGCGCCACCGGAGCAGGAAGGGAACTGTTTAGTGCGGTGTAGACTACTCCATAAAAGGAGCCGTTGTGTGTCGGTGTGTGTGTTAGGGATGCAAGTGGAGAGGGAAGCATAGCCCCCACTCCAGGCCAAGAAGAGGTCTCCTGACCTCATGCGCTCTTCACAAATTCCCATTCTAGGGTCTAGGTAAAGCCGCGAGGTACTTTTGGTGCCCAAATCCGGAGTTCCTCCGTTGGAGGAAAGATTGCTCACCTCCCTTGCTAGCTCCGCTCCTCCCCTCCCTCCAAATTGGAGGTCCAATTAACCAGCTGGGAATGGAGTCTCCACTGAGAAAAGGGAAATCTTATTCATCGAACTGAACAGTAGACTCCTGCCCACTCCTGTCCCACCCCACACTGTTAAAAACCCTTCTCGGCTGGGCGTGGTGACACCTGTAATCCTAGCACTCTGGGAGGATTGCTTGAGCTCAGGAGTTCGAAACAGGCTTAAGCAGAGCGAGACCCTGTCTCTACTATAAATAGAAAGAAATTGGCCAAACAACTAAAAAGAAAAAATTAGCCGGGCGTGCCTGTAGTCCCAGCTACTCGGGAGGCTGAGGCAGGAGGATCACCTGAGCCCAGGAATTTGAAGTTGCCGTGAGCTAGGCTGACAGCACTGTAGCCCGGGCAACAGAGTGAGACTCTGTCTCAAAACAACGAGAAAAAAACCCAACCTTTCTCTGTTTTGGTCCTGGAATTTCCAGTTCAAGTGACTAGCATTAGGGATCACAGTTGCATTTGGATGCCCAGGGATTCAAAGTGTTCCTGGGGGACTGATAACCAATGAGTAAGTCCTATGAGCTGTGGCTAGACATGGCAGATGGCCACAGCTTCACATCCATTCATTTTCTTTGCACCTCTTGGGGATGCTATTTGATTAACTTTTTTTTTTACTAGCTTCCTGTGTCTTGGCCACCCACTGACTCCTTGCCCAGCTGCTTTCCTAAGAGTAACCTGTTGTTTTGTGGAGTCAGTTCTGGTTTCCCAGGCTTTGCTTCTGAAGAAAATTTCCTTTGGAGGCTTGTTTAGTAATGTCCAACTCTGTTACACTTCGGTTCCACATCTGAAGGCAGTCTTTGGTCTTCCAAGATGGGTGTGAGAGAATTGGACTCGGAACTGTGAGAAAAGTTCCGGATTGATTCTTGCTGATGTAGGGATTCTGGGTGTTTGTCCTTAGGTTCCTGAAGAGCAAAGAGCCTTGGTGGAGAGAAGGGAAGATGGGAGCAGGCAAGGAGGGAGAAGAAGGTCAGGGAGGAGCCCACAGGCAGGCGGAAAGCAGGAGAAACGTTCAAGTACTGTGTGTAACAGAGCCATAGGTCTTTGGAGCTTGTTAACAATTTTTAAAATCATTTTCAAGCTGAGCCTATGAGGTAGATGGGGCCAATTACCTTCCCTTGCTTTATACCTGAGGAAAGAAAGCTTTATACCTGAGGAAAGAAATTTAAGCACAAATTACTTACCTAAAAAGACAAAATTGAACTAGAATCCAGATTGAGTTCTGCTTCCTTCTAGATCAGAAATTACTAAATTTAGCTTTTAAATCATAATTCCCTGAGGCACTTTAGTGAAAATGCAGATTCTGGGGCCTCTCCCCAGAATTATTAATCTGTAAGGGTGGGAACCAGAATCTGTATTTTTACAAGCTTCTGCTGAGAATTTGTGCTGTCAGTCCTGGTTTAGCCTTTGACAGCCAGTGTTGTGGATTAGGTCTGCTTTTTTGTTCAGTAGCTTATCTGGTCTCTGGTCTTGAATTACCCCTTGCAATTTCATATGGCAAGCATCTGTGTGGGCCTGGGCATCCCAGAACTAAGGATCCAGGGAAGCCAAGAATGGCATATAGACCTCTACTAGGAGTGTTGTGTTGCCTTTTTTTTTTTTTTTTTTGAGACAGAGTCTCACTTTGTTGCCCAGGCTAGAGTGAGTGCCGTGGCGTCAGCCTAGCTCACAGCAACCTCAAACTCCTGGGCTCAAGCAATCCTCCTGCCTCAGCCTCCCGAGTAGCTGGGATACAGGCATGTGCCACCATGCCCGCTAATTTTTTTTTTCTATATTAGTTGGCCAATTAATTTCTTTCTATTTATAGTAGAGACGGGGTCTCTCTCTTGCTCAGGCTGGTCTCGAACTCCTGACCTCGAGCAATCCGCCCGCCTTGGCCTCCCAGAGAGCTAGGATTACAGGCTTGAGCCACCGCGCCCGGCCTTTTTTTTTTTTTTTTTTTTGACATTCAAAAGATTTAGCCTAGTCTTGGACTTAGGAAGGAACTGGAGGGATGAGAGTTGGAAAAGAAACTGGGTTTATCCCTGCCCTCAAGTTAGTCTTAATTACATTTTGGGTGTGCTTAAGGCATAGGTAGGGAGAGTACTAAGGAGGATTATATTAGATTTGTCACAGCCTTCAGGAGGGTCTTAATCCCATTTCGACTATTCCCCCTGGCCTCCTTCCATGGTCCCAGCTCTTTTACTCACCTTGATTTGACTATTTATTTCATTGCAGTTCTCTGTAGACTGGTCTCTTCCTCTCTCTAAATCTTTGTCATAAGGAGAGGTATTAAACCCACCAATGGAAGCAACACTGGAGTTGGGGCTGCTAGTGGAAACCTAGGCTTCATAAACTTTTGCCAGGCTCTGGAGTACAGGGAGTTTCATGTCAGATTTTCAGTGGGCTTGATTCAGAGGGGTGAGTGAGTGGGTGGGTGAGCACAGTATGGCCTTCCCGTCTGTGGAAGTTTCTCCATCCCCTGCTGCCTCAGTATACCTCCCAGCCTTTTTTGCATTGAAGGTCATTTGTCTATGATGCCCTTGGAACAGAATTCACTTTCTTGTTTTTTTTCTCCTAGATACACATATGAGGATTATCAGAACACTGCAGAATGGCTTCTGTGTCGCACTACACACCGACCCCAGGTGGCAGTGATCTGTGGTTCTGGATTAGGCGGTCTGGCTGATAAAGTAACTGAGGCCCAAGTCTTTCACTACAGCGAGATACCCAATTTTCCCCAAAGTACAGGTACTGGTGGGGGCAAGAGTGGGGGAAAGAAGGGGATGGGACTGAGGGATGTTGATGAGTTTCTGGGAACCCAACCAAGGAGGCCAGTGTTTCTACTCCTGGATCTGGTGTTTGACTGAAGACAAGTAAGAGGGAAAAAAGCCCATCAATGAATCAGAATGATGGAAGGATTTCCTTTAGTGGAAATCTCATAATAGACAGTGTGTGTGTGTTTAGTGGGCCATGATGACATCTTTCCTATGTTTTACTGACTCAACTCCTTAAAGCTCTACAACATCTCCAGCATGTGCCTCTCCCCTACATGTGCCTCCTTCCATACACCATCATCACCACACACCGAATTTCTTCCAGCCTATAGCTTACATGGAAAAAGCAGTGTCTCTAGCCTCCCAGGACAAAGTCAAGGCTTCTCTGTCCAATGTCTTCCTGCCATTTCCCGTCTCCTCCAGACTTAGGATATGACAGAGCAACAAATGAACACACAGATTCATGTTCTTGCAGACACATACACAGATAATACAATTGGCCCTCTGTCTGTGTCTGAGGTTTCACATCTGTGGATTCAGCTGAATCAAAAATTAACTGTACAACTGGGTGTGGTCGCTCACACCTGTCATCCTAGCACTCTGAGAGGCCTAGGCAGGAGAATCGCTTGAAGTCAGGAGTTTGAGACCAGCCTCAGCAAGAGCCAGACCCTGTCTCTGCTACTGAAAATAGAAAGAAATTAGGCAGACAACTAAAAAGAGAAAAAATTAGCTGGGCGTGGGGGTGCACACCTGTAGTCCAGCTACTCAGGAGGCTGAGGCAGAAGGATTGCTTGAGCCCAGGAGTTTGAGGTTGCTGTGAGCTAGGCTGACTCCCATGGCACTCTAGCCAAGGCAACAGAGATAGATTTTTGTCTCAAAAAAATCCAAAATTAACAGTACAACAATAAAAATGACACAAATAAAAATATAGTATAACTATTTAGATAGCAATACATTATGTTATCT